GAAGAATTCTGCTCTCTGAGGCACCTTCTCTGGATTTGTGGGAGGAGGCCCTGCCACACGCAGCAGCTCCTTTTGGACGGCCACAGCCCCTTTGCCACGTGGTGGCAGTCAAGTCCTACACTGGAAGCCTTGTCTGGCTCCTACTCTACTGCTGCTTTTCTCTCAGACACGCAGACACATTTTGCTTCATATCAAAGAAAAGTTATTTGCAGACTTCAAAACAAGAATCCACCTTAAAATTCTAAATAACGAGATACAGTTTTCAAAACAGCACTGCCTTTATTTAAATATCCAACATATTAAACGTGTTGCTATGATTTTCATGTCTAGGCTGCTCCTCTGTGTGGCACTGCTTGTCCCTGTTCCCCTGAGTAAGCCTAAAAACAAGGAAGTTGTCAGAAAAAGAGAGGCTGTCTCCGTGAGGCTGGCAGGCTATGATTTTTGAGATCTGGGGAAGATGAAGAATTTCAGGAATTTTCTTCCACATCAATGGGAAGGTGTAGTAGAAGCATATGCATTTAGATTATTTATTACTCGTAAAAGCTTCGATGGGTAAAAACATGGGAGTATCTGTCCCCCTCTATTCCCCACTGCTCACTGTCAATTCTAGACCCAACTCTGTGTATACAGAAGGTACCAGTCTGGCCCAGACTACATTCTATCCCCAGTTCCATCTCTATTACCTTCTAACAGCAGCTCTTTTTGTAATTTTCGCCATTAATCACTATGTCTGCTGTTGCTCTAAGCTCAATCTAGTTTAAATAAGCTTATCAGTGCTATAGCCTGAACTAAAGTAGTTTGATTAACCAGAGAGCAGGATAGTCAAGACCAGATGTGCTAGGTTTTGTTATATTGTAGTTCAGAATATAGTCACTATAGGCTTGTGATGTGTCCACTTCCATTGCTATTTTAGAAGAGGTAAATGCCTCTTGAAACTTAGCATTTCACATTAAATTTATTAATAAGGAACAAAATCTCTGGCCTTAAATTAGTAAAACATAGACTTTTTGGATGATTTTGCAGCTCACAGTCTACAGTAAAAAAAAAAAAAAGGGAAAATTAGCAGATAATCTGAAAAGAGGTACAAGTAAAAGAAGATGGATTTAGAAATTATTCAAGGATTGGTGGGAAGACTTCTGTCCATGTCAGTGGTTTTGTGGACATCATAGCCTCTTTGGTAGTTTGAGTGGGTAAGCTGGTCCACGTGGATGGTAACTACAAAATCAGGACCCCAGACAACCACATCTAAGTAAGGTGATGAATCTAAGTAAACAATGCTCACTGTAAGCATGTAATCATCTCCCCTTGGCCAAAAAAGAAGCCTATAAACACATGAGAATACAGGTTTTCTGATACAGCATTCAAGGGACATATCAGTCCTAAGTCTCAGTAGAGAATCTTTCCTAATATCGTCATGCCTTGTATAGAATATTCAACTCTTGCCAAAGTGGTTAATTAAGAGGGAATTTAATATGCTGTTAGAGTCTGTCAAAAATACTACCAAAAATAAAATAAAATAAAGAGGATGAGCTGTGAGTTAGGAGCCCTCGTGGCCCTATAGTTAAGCGCTCGGCTGCTAACTGAGAGGCTCAAACCCATCAGCCACTCCGTGAAAAAGACCTGATGATCTGCTCCTGTAAAAATTACAGCCTTTGAAGCGCTGTAGGCCAGTTCTGCTCTGTCCTGTAGGGTTGCTTTGAGTCAGAATTGACTCGATGGCACACAAAAATAACAAGGGCAGCATGTGCGTTGAGGGCAAGACATTCTCCCCCCATTAATGCTAATAGAGACAACTGGAATTAATATATTATTTGTATGAAAACAGAGAAGTCATGTTGCTTTTTCACGTGAGAATAAGCAAAGCCAAGTCCTACATTGATAGAAGGAAGTAAAAAGGACCAAGAACATTTATTAAGGGCTTAATATATGATAAGCACCATTAGGTGCTTTGTGTACATAATCTGATTTAATTCTCACAACGGCTACTATGAGGGAGATATCATCCTTATTTTATAGATGAGGGTTTGAGGGAGGAAAGCAACATGCTCATAGATACAGTCACAGATAGTAAGTAACAGAACAATAATTCAAACTTTAAAACCCCATTGCTGTTGGGTCGATTCCAACTCATAGCAGCCCTATAGGACAGACTAGAACTGCCCCATAGTGTCTCCAAGGAGCACCTGGTGGATTTCAACTGCGACCTTTTGGTTAGCAGCCGTAGCTCTTAATAACTGTGCCACAGAGGCTCCAGACCTAGTTCTGTTTAATTCTGAAACTCATCCAAAAGATTTTTGGTGGGGGTAGGGGGAACAAACTAGATTTTTAAATAGGATTTTTAAATGACTTATGCAAGAAAATAATGTTGGTTATTACTATTTTTCAGTCACAAACATGCAAAAAAAAAGAACCTGTTGCTGTTGAGTTGATTCCGACTCATAGTGACCCTATAGGACAGAACAGAACTGCCCCACAGGGTTTCCATGGAGCAGCTGGTGGATTCTCTTTACCACTTTGCCACCAGGGCTCCCATACATGCTAAGTAATATGCAAAAATTAAGCTGATTGTTGTGACTGTTGTCTCCTAGCAGGAAGCATTTCTTAGCAGGAGGAGGGCTGCTGTAAAATAACTGTTTGTTACACCATGTATAATAGCCAATCCTTAGTTTAGTTTCGTTGTCAACAGAGGGTGCTGTACACCTTCTAGATTTTGGCACATATGCATACATTTCTTATCCAACTCCTGCCTACTTGTAATCATTACCTACATACAATGTAGTCAGATTAACTTTCGGTTTTAGTGAAGTTCTGGATGTGCTGAGTTTTAGATTTCTCTGAATTTGCATTGCACTTTCAGTCCTATTGTATATAACTATAAGGTGATAGGATTACAGAACTCAGCGGTTACTGTATGAAGCAGAAAAATTTGAATGAACATGTTTTTCTAAATCTAACTGATCTTTTTATCTGTTAAGGACAGACTAAAAAGAAAAAAAACAAAACCCAACAGTTGCTGTTGAGCCAATTCAAACTCCTGGTAACCCCATGTGTGTCAGAGTAGAACTGTGCTCCGTAGGATTTTCAATGGCCGATGTTTTGGCAATAGATCACCAGACCTTTCTTCTAAGCTGCCTGTGGGTCGACTCAAACTTCCACCCTTTCAGTTAGCAAGAGAGCACGTTAAGCGTTTGTACCACCAAGGGACTCCAGGGGCAGATACCACACCACTATTATAGACAGGAAGGGAAAGCACCGTTTAAGGAACAATCATCCAAGTAATGGAAGGATAGGATTTTTACATTTTCAAACTCTGTCCATGTGTGTACTCAACCTGGTCGAAATCGACTTGATGGCAACGGGTTTGTTTGTTTTTTTACTGTTATTATATAATGTTTCCTAAGTGGTTCTTAAAAAGGGAGCCTTTATTCAATACTACAGCTGAGAAATCATGAGTTATAAGCTGTCTTAAAAATGTAGAGAATTTTATGTGCATGTGTGTGTGTGAGTAGTGGAACTATTTTAAACACTGTTCATACAGAATAAGCATTTGTGTGTTTATGAATTTAGTAGTAGGGAGTTAGGAAAGCAAAAGATCCAAAAACCTGGCAGGACCTTTATAATAAAATGTGTAGAATAGAAATCAAAAGGTGATTCATTGATTGCAGTGTATGCATTCTTGAGGAGTCTGTAGCCTGTATTAGGAATGATCTGAGCTGCAAGTCACATAAGACCCAATTCAAAATGGGTTAAACAAGACTGCCATGCATTATTTCAGAAAACAAAAAATTCAAAGATATGATCAGTTCAGGGTTGGTTAATTCAGAGGCTCAATGAAGTCATCAAGAAACTAGTTTCTTTCCGTGTGTAGCTCTCCTGTCCTTGAGGTGTTGGTTTTTGTCCTGAGGTCTGTCCCCTCAGGTGGCAATGTGCCGCTGCAGCTCCAAGGATCTCTTACTCACATAGCATCGAAAAGTCAAGAGAAAGAAGATCTCTTACTTTTGTTACCCTTTAAGAACAAGAACGACCTTCCCATGAGCTCTCCTCACGCCCAGCCAACTCCCTTTGCTATACATCCTCGAATAGTGTTTCTGTCCTATTCTAAAGTCAAGCACTGACCAGGAGAATGGAGTTATCATGATTGTCTTAGAATAACCAGGATTTACACCTGAGGCCAGGGAGCTACCCAGTCTCTCTTCTGAGACACACAGTCTTAGATGATTGAATAAAATCAGAGTTATATTAGCAAGAATTCTGCTAGCAATGACTATTGGGTAGGCAGACAATATTGTCACCTAAAACGTAGAGGCACCTTGCTAGAAAATCAGGTGGAGAAGTTTGTCCTAGTTCTTGATTTCCGAGGCAAAGGAAAAATGCCAGTACTGAGATTTTTTAAAAGACTTGATTAATTTAAATCCTGTCAGTCTGCACATGATTAAAGACAATGAAACTATTTAGATATAGATCACACCTATAGTCATGTCCTCTTTTTCAATTTTGTGAGTTACTTATTTTATCTAATATGTACTTCCTTGCTTCAGGGTATATGTGTGGTGGGGAGGAGCTGGGGAGAGAGTGTTGGGGGCTGGAGGACAAGGTAACAGATGTATTAGTCACTTTTCCCCCCTATTCAAGTCTTGGGAATTATCAAGCTACTATTTATTGTTGTCACCCAAAATAAGGCTAGAACCTAGTGCTACCACCTCCCCACCCATTAACTATGTAGAAAATTAAGGATGCCACCTCTAGAATGCCACATGTCTACCTACCTACCTCATGGCACATTGTAACCCTGGAAAGCCTGAGTAATTTGAATATGTGCAAAATGATTGCCCTTCTGGAGGCAACCTCATATGTATAATTTTTAGCTCTCAACGGCTTATGTAGAGTTGTAAAGGCTCATCCACTGCCTCCCTGGGGATCCCTAGTGTCGTTGTGCTTGTGTATAATGATGGTTTCCAGTATTTCCAAGTAACCACAGCTTTTGTTTTGCCTTTCTTCAGAGAGGTACAGATCAGCTCCTCCAGCACCACAACCTCTGAGAGTCAAGATCCCTCTTCTGGGGACCCTGCAGTCAGTGCCCTCCAACAACAGCTATTGCTAATGGTGGCTCGGAGGACCCAGTCAGAAACCCCGCGGGTAAGTTCCAGCATTGCTGTTTGTTGGTGTTTTACCTGATAGAGCTCGTCAGGTCTGGCCCTGAGTCATTGCATCTCTAGGTTGTGGATATATCACTGCATAGTAGTCTACTGAATGAATGGAAAAATAAAAACATTTAGATAATAGGTACTCTTCAGTTGATACTAACAGGATTGCCACTGTCTTAATTGTGCTTCCAAACACATTGGAAATTCATTCACACTGATCTGTGGTTGCCATGTTGTACACATTTCACAACAGCCCACTTGGACAGATCCCTCCCCATGTTTTAGGAAAATATTTGGATTTTTTATTAATTTACTATATAGTAAGCTTTCACAGATTCTTGAAGATAAATATTTGGCTTGAAGAGAGATTTTATTCTTGGGGCAAATGACATTATCATTAAGGAGTCTAAAATCTGAAGCCTTCCATTATTTTACTGAGGGATATTAATGTCTGTTCACTTATTTCTCAAGCCTTAAATGAGACCTGACTCTGTGGGAGGCACGGCAAAGGATTCAAAGCAAAAGGCAACCCGGGAGGTTAGGCAAACACCAGACCTTGCAATTAAAGTCTGTCCTGATCATTTTGAGAAAGGGGATGGGGAAGGCTCCTTAAAAGAAGGACCAGACCTTGAAGAAAGGTGGGTTTCAGTTGGTGGAGACTGAGGAAGGTAGCTGGGAGAACACCACCTTAGTGTAAAGTTTCTTTACTGCTATTTTTACCTTATTTGTGGCTATGTTTGGATTCCCTCTAGAGAACCTCACCTTTGCAAAAATAATGTAGTTTATATCTGTTTTTGGAGCCCTGGTAATGTAGTGGTTAAGAGCTTGGCTGTAAACCAACGGGTCAGCAGTTCAAATCCACCAGCTGCTCCTTGAAAACCTTGTAGGGCAGTTCTACTCTGTCCTATAGGGTCGTTAGAAGTCGGAATCGACTCAATGGCACATAACAACGACAATAATATTTGTTTTTATGATTCCTTAACCCAAATTATTCCAAAGCATGCTTGATTGTATAATGAGTTGAAATGTATACACTATTAGTCAGATGCGACAAAAATAGTTACCTTTTAACTGACGATAGAGTGCTGGATTCCTGCTGATGCGGTGGGTGAGGAGGACTTACAAGTGCAGAGTAGGAGTAACTCAGCCCTTTTAGACTTGAAGGAGTTTCTGTGGGAACAAATATTCAGTTAATTCAAAGGTTAGGTCCTATTAGGACTATTTCTTCACTTTTGTTCATTGTGTCACTTCCCTCCTCCTTCTCAAGACTCTGGGTGCAGGGCACCTTCCTAAACTCACAGACGAATGTGGAGGTGGGAGAGGCCACTCTGGTAGCCAAGAACTGCTCCTGTGCCTTGGTTCAGCCTGGTCATGTGGTGGCTAGGTGGTGCCTGCTGAGGGTGGATGTCCTGCATGGTTTCGGTGTGGTGCCAGTGGCCGCAGCACGTGTGGGGCCCTGCCAAATGAAGGTTTTCTCTGAGAAACTTGTGTTTTTCCCTGACATGGGCCTGGTGAAGCCCCAGGTCTCTACCACCTGTCCCCCTTAGCACATCGGTGTTGAACCCCTAAGAAGGGGAAGGCTATAAAAATATTGAAGTAGTCTGGGAGGATGTGAATGTCATTGATTCTATGAGTAGGGGAGCCACAGGGAAGCTAGGAACTTCAGAGATTCAAAATCAGAGAAATTGATTTAATATCTTGAACATACCTTAGAGTAGAAACTAGAAAACAAGTAAATATTGCAAGGATAAATCAGACAGTCATGCTACTCCTTATTTTACATTTACAATTCTGTGAGTGACAAGCTGTTTGATTCCTGGTCAGTGCAAAGCCACCACCCATCTACAGCGGAGGCTTGTGTGTTGCTATGCTGCTGAACAAGTTTCAGTGGAGCTTCCAGACTGCTGACTAGGAAGAAAGGCCTAGTGATCTGCCTCTGAAAATCAGCCAAAGAAAACCCTATGGATTACAGTGATCTTATCCCAACCAATCATGGGGATGGTGCAGGACTGGGCAGTGTCTCGTTCCCTTGTGCATGGGGTCGCCATGGGTCTGTTGCTGACTCCATGGCAGCTAACAAGTGGCAAGCCTAGATAAATGCATGTATAAAAGACTAAGTTCATGTGTAGTGTTTTGTTGTTAATCACTTAACCAAATTCATTTTTAACTTAACCTTAATTTTAAGTAAAATTTTAAAAAAATTTAAAGTTTTATTCTATGTAGGTTTGTTGTTGTTAGCTGTCCTCCAGTCGATTCCAGCTCATGGAGACCCTGTGTGTGCAGGTGGAACTGCTGCATAGGATTTTCAAGGCTGTGACCTTTCAGAAGCAGATCACAAGGCCTATATTCTGAGGCACCTTTGGATGTGTTTGAACCTCCAATCTTCTGGCTAGTAGTCAAGCGTTTAACCATTTGTGCCATCCTGGGACTCCGTATATAGGTTTAGAGGTGAAGAAATGAACATTGCTATTCAGTCTTATATTTAGATCCTGAGTAATATTTATAAACATCTTATATCTAAAAAATTGCTTTATCTCTGCTATTTAGTTTTCCAGATTTAATTGATATCACCAGGGAATTAAATTAGGTTTTGGCCATAAAAGTTGGTTTCCTGCTCATTTTTCAACATATATTTACTGAAGGCTTACTATGCCTCCAGCCCTGTGCTACAGGCCAGGTATACAGTGGTGACAAGACTCAGTCCCTGCCTTCAAGAAGTTTAACGACTGGTCAGCACATTCAACTATCTGTGACTGAGGCTATGATCAGGGTAGGCACTGACACTGTGGGGAGTAGAGGATGCCCTGCCCAGGATCCAGGGAATGAGGGAGGCCTCCTGAAGTGTGAAGGATGGATTGAAGCAGCCAGATCACAGGAGGTTAGGCCATCTAGGCAGAGAAACAGCCTGGGCAAGGGCCTGGTAGTGGTCTGCCCTGTGTTTCTGGAGCCTGGAGGTGTAGAGGCAACAACACAAGGAAGTTTAAGTTTTTTTAGATAAGCCTAGCAAAAATAAGCAGGAAATAGGACTCTGAAGACAAAACTATTTAATTTCTTCTCCTCCCCATCCTCTCTCCCTCTCTCTTCATAGCTGCTCGAGTGCAGCATGGATGTCCAGTGGGAGCATGGCCGGGAGGTGGGCCAAGGCCAGTGAAGTGACTTGTGTGAAGTTCTTCCTTGGCACAGATAAAATGTGTGTGCATGGAAGGAAGGGGCCCTGCAAGGGGAGCCCCTGGCAGAGGTTGGTTACCTTGTTTTTATTTTAGGCAAATGAATGGAGGAGGTTCTTTTTTGTCATCACATCTGCAGAGCACAAAGAGAAGGACAAAGCTTGGGGCCCACATAGAATTGGTGACATCTGTCCCCTGAACTCAGTTGGCATTCAGGGGCCTTCTATCCATGTTATAAACTGGTATTTCTTTATACTCACTGTATCCATCATGTACTTCTAACCTCACTGGGCATATTCTGTAGACTCATTACCATGACTTTTAAAGTCTTCCGTAGTCCCATTATGTTACACAGGGCAAGTGCTTGAGTAACCCCCTTAAAATGTCTTTTCTCTCGCAGTGCTGGTTGAGAAGCAGGCACAGTTGGTTCAAAGGCAGCACTGGATCCATGGGAGGCACCACTTTCTGCTTCCATTTGCCCTTACCTGGTTCAGGTTTCAAACTCATCCAGCTCATCTCACGTTATAAACTTGTATGTGACAGTACTTTGTGAACTCTAAAGCTCTGTGTAAGTGCATGACAGTGGCAGTATTATTATTATTATTAACAATAATAGGGAGAGCCAAGCAGTTCATTGGTCCTAAACTAATCTGAACTGGGGACAATTGCAAAGATTGGCATGGTTCTGGACTTGGCAGATTGTCATTCTAGGTTAATGTAAAGGGAATGTTTACATCACAATTTACTATCATTAAAGAATTAATGAGAAGAGGAACTTGCACTTTTTACCCTATGTATTTCCCTGTCATTTACATTTTTGTCACAATGATGTATTCATGAATTGCTTTTTTTTAAAATTTAAAACGTTTTTAAGAGGAAAAAGCATATTCCTGGACCTCTGATTTGCATAGGGTGCTGTATATAGTATTTTATTAAATAGTCCCTGTCCACAAGAATATTGACATTTACTAGCACATGAATCAAATTAAATATCAATTATATAGATGAAAAGATGTATCATCAATTGTAATACATTAACATATGTATTGGTTATTATGTATTTATTTGAAAGAGTATCTACGCTTAAAAAAAGAAAAATGAACATTTGAATACTTTTCATTTATCATGTTCAGAAGTTCATTTTTTGAAAAATATATTTATAACCTACATGATTTGTTATAAATTCTGGCTGCTAACAAGAGCCTCTGTTATAGTAATTATCCTATATATATTTTTTAATTTTTTATCCTTCAGAGTGTTGTTCATGTCTAGATTCAACTAGCTTTCCACTAATGTATTGAACACTAGTTATGAGCAAGGCACTACGTTAGGCACTTTCACAGATGCTGCCACCTGACTTTTACAGCATGTTTTGGGAGTTAGGTCCTGGTACCTGATGTGTTGGCTGAGCCTTGACGCAGTGTTCCTTTCTCTTTGTCCTTCGGTCACTGCTGGGATCTCCAGTTGCTTGCCTCCTCAGCAGCCACTGCTATGATTGCTCATGAGCCCACTTCCGACACCTAGCAGAGTCCCTGCCCACCTCCACCTCTCCAGCACTGGCTTGATGGTTTTTAGAAATAGCACATGGTGCCCTAATGCACTACTTTTTTGTATTGTATTTTCCTCACTCTCCTACTCCTCTCTTCCTGCTGACTTTTCAGGTAAAATCCACGCTGGTCTTTCTGAGAACTTTTAACAATTTTCAAGACCCCTCAAAAAGGAGGCATGGTACTGCCTCCTTGTGCACTACCGTGCCCAGTGTACCTGTGCCAACTTTGTGCCTCTTCCAACTTTGGGGAGATTCCATAGAGTCAGTTGTTTACTC